CAACCTGTGCAAGGCAACTTCCCTGAGCAAAAACTGTGGGCAGGTTAGTCTCATCTAGGAGGCGAAATTAGGAGTAGAAAACACTATGTTTACCTGAAAGACATTCTCAGCATATATATATATATATATTTATTTTTCTTTTTTTAAATTTTATTTTTGTTTAAAATATTACAGATGTCCCTTTTTCTCCCCAATGACCCATTCCACCCCATCCCATTCCCCTCCCCAGTCCCTCTCCCCACCATTGTCCGTGTCCTTGGGTTGTGCATATATGCATATAAATTCTTTGGTTACTCTCTCTCCCTCCACCCACCCACCTCCCTCCATCCCTCTGACATTCATCAGTCTGATCTATGCTTCCATGTCATTGAATCTATTCTGTTCATCAGTTTACTAAGTTCTTTAGATTCCACATATAAGCAAGATCATGTAATGTTTGTCTTTCTCTGCCTGGTTTATTTCACTTAGCATAATATTATCCAAGTCCATCCATACTGTCCCAAAAGGTAAGAGATCTTTCTTCTTTACAGCTGCATAGTGTTCCATGGTGTAGATGTCCCATAGCTTTTTTATCCACTCATTTACTGATGGGCACTTGGGCTGTTTCCAGATTTTAGCTATTGTAAACTGCTCTGCTATGAACATAGGGGTGCATAATTCTTTCTGATTAGTAAGAGAATCTTAAAGGCAGCAAGAGAAAAACAATCTGTTACCTACAAAGGAGCTCTTATAAGTCTGTCAGTTGATGTCTCATCAGAAGCTCTACAGGCTAGAAGGGAATGGCATGAAGTATTCAAGGTAATGCCAAAGAAGGATCTGAAACCAAGACTACTCTATCCAGAAAGGATATCATTAAAAATAGAGGTGAGCCTGGCCGTGGCTCAGCGGTTAATCATCGACCTAGGATCCAGGAGATTGGGGTTTGATTCCCGGCCAGGGCACATTCCCGGGGTTGTGGGCTGCAGCCAATCAATGACTCTCTTGTCATTGATGTTTCTATCTCTCTCTCTCCCCCTCTTTTCCTCTCTCTGAAATCAATAAAGATATGTTTAAAAAACAAAACAAAAACAAAATAGATGGTGAAATAAAGAGCTTCCAAGACAAAAAAAACTCTAAAGGAGTTTATCACCATCAAACCAGCATTGCAGGAAATGTTAAAGGAACTGCTGCACTAAGAAGTAGAAATAGGGAGAAAGAGAAACATAGGCATAAAGAAATAAAATGGCAATAGATAAGTACCTATCAATAATAATCTTAAATATAAATGGATTAAATGCTCCAATCAAAAGATACAGGGTAGCTGAATGGATAAGAAAACAGGACCCAAATATATGCTGTCTACAAGAGACACACTTCAGAACAAAAGACACACAGCTTGGACAAAAAACACACAAAACTGCTGGAGGACTTTAAGGGAGAGATCGACAGCAATATAGTCATAGTAGGGGACTTTAACACCCCACTGACTTCACTGGATGGATCTTCCAGACAAAAAAATCAACAAGGAAATAGTAACTCTAAATGACACACTAGATCAGATGGACTTAATTGACATTTACAGAACATTTCACCCCAAAGCTGCAGAATAGACATTCTCCTTTAGTGCACATGGGGCATTCTCAAAGATAGACCACATGTTAGAACACAAAACAAGTCTCTACAAGTTCAAAATGACTGAAATCATATCAAACATCTTCTCGGACATTTACACCATTTAATACTATACAGCTGTAAAAAAGAAGGCTCCCTTACCCTTTGAAGCAGTGTGGTGGGACCTGGAGAGTGTTATGCTAAGCAAAATAAGCCAGTCAGAGAAAGAGAAGTATCCCATGATCTTATTCATACCTGGCATTTAATGAACAAAATAAACCAATGAACAAAATAGATCCAGAGACCATAGAAGCATGGAACAGACTGACCAATCTCAGAGGGAAGTTTGGGGGGGTGGGGGTGGGGGGGAGAGATTAACCAAAGCACTTATATGCATATATGCATAACCCATGGACACAGACAATAGTGTGGTGAAGGCCTGGAGGAAGGGGGTGCAGGGTGGAAGGGATCAATGGGGGAAAAAGGGGGAATTTGTAATACTTTAAACAATAAAAATAAATTGAAACATAAAAAAAGAAAGAATGACAATAAGTAAATAAATAAAGTGCAATAAACGTTTACTGAAAATGTAACAAAATGATATGCTTTTCTTAAACTACCACAATATATGAAAATATCTACCTCCTTTCTTGTCCTGAAAGATCTCCCTTGTTTCAGGTCAGTTTTCTTGAGTCCCCCACATCAGGGCCACTGACAGCTCAGCTCTATATGCACTGAGCTGCCCAGCCCCATTTCCTAGTCTCACATCCAACCCAGGTGGAAAAAGGATCAAACCCCCAAATCTCTCTCTCTCAGTCCTTACAAACACCTGCTCAGCACATTCAAGTCTGAAAGATCATCCTAAGCCAAGATAGGGCTAAATTCAGATTTGGGGAGGAAGAGCTCCCCTAATGGAAACAACTTACTGAAGCATGGTCCTACAAGAAAATAACAGCAGGAGACCATGCATCTCCTCCTAAATCATCACATGCCTATCTTCTCCAGGAATAATGAAGATAAATTTGCTTATACTATGTGCATAACTAAGATAGCCCAAAATAGCACTGGCCAGTGTGGCTCAGTTGGTTGAAGCCTTGTCCCATACACTGAAAGGTTGTGGGTTCTATTCCTGGTCAGGGCACCTACCTAAGTTGCTGGTTCAGTCTCCCAGTTGGGGTGTGTGCAGGAGGCAACCAACCAATCGATGTTTCACTCTCAGGTAGGCCTCTTTCTCTAAAGAAAAAAAAATCAATTAAAGAAAAAAATTAAAGAGCCCAAAATAGATCACACAATTTCTCCAGAGAGATCACTTTAAAAAACACTGTGTTAATAATCTTCTCTTTTAAAAACCCCTTCCCAAATAAAGTTTTTCATAGCCCTGCATTGGTTAAATGGCAAACTTCACATCTTTGTACACTTCCATGTGTTGTTCCCCTTGTTTGGAAACCACCCCCTTCTTTAATTGGGAAATTTCTCACCATTCCCCTAACGACACAGTTTATCAGCTGGCTGCTCCCTGCAGAGCGAGCGGCCTGGCCTCCGCGCTCTCCCACAGGGCTGGGCATCAGTGCCGCACCCTAGCTTAGGGCGCCAGCGCGAGAAGCCTGGCTTCGGGACAAGCAGCGTCGCTGCACATAAGTTAGTTACCACCTCTGTGCCTTACTTTCCTCATTTGATAAGCTTGTAAATTTATTGCTACACTGTAGGCTTGTTCTGATGTATAATACAAATAGTTTTAGAGTAGTGATGGACACAGAATAAAATCTAACGAAATGTTACCTCTTACACATTTCTGCTGCGGCCTTCAACACTGTGTACGCGAGCTCCAATGAGTCTCTTGTTGAACAACTACACAATTCCGGGTGTTCTCTAATTCACTAAGAAAATTAGGGCAACTGCTTTTTACATCAGGGCTGGCTTCCACCTTTCCTACCTGTAGGGATTGTGCTGTCAAACACGGAGTCCCTATACCCCCAGTTTAGACTGCCTAAGCCACCGCGTGGTTGTATGTGTGGACTCTGAGAAAGAAGATACCTGCCAAAAGTGGCTCCCAGTGGCTAACCAGGCTTAAAGTAAAACAAAACAAAACAAAAAACAGAGCCGAGCAGCCATTTCTATAAAGGGGCCTCTAATGTAAACTGTGCCTCAGGGAGAAGCCTGCCACCAACGCCTCCCTGTCCTGCGACCCTGCCTTCAGAGCCGCCGTTTCTCAGGTGGCGTGGAATCCTGTTTCAGCCAATAAGACTAAGGCTTTCTCCACCCAATCCGAGCAGCACAGCTATAGCCCCTTCTTCACTAACCAATCAGAGTGGCTCCATTCTGACCAATCAGGACAGTGCCTTTTGGACCAATCAAACTGAGAAGACTTGGAGTGCTTATTTGCATGAGGATGGACCAATCAGGGACCAGGGGCGGGGACTTCTGTCTATATAAGCCAGCTCCCCTCAGGCTTTAAGAGCGCGCTTTTACATTGCAGTTAAGGCTTTGTTCCTTGGCTAGAGCTGGCACCCCAAAGCTGCCTCACTGCGGCAGAGTGGAGCGGGCCAGCACAGAGCAGAGCTGTTTAGCCAGAGAGGGGGACACCTCATGGTTGTGCTGTATCACAGTTGAGCCATTTGCACAGAATAAAGTTTCCTTCTTCACCACACCCCAAGTTGGGAATTCCTATTGGTGTTGAATTGGCACTGAGGACCATCAGTTGACATGGGTGACAGTCTATTTTTATTCTTCCTTTGAAGCAAGTGTTTTAGTCCAAGGGAATGTAGATGCATATGAGCTCCTCCTTTGTAAGGATGATTTACACTTTAATAGGCTTAATTACTTTTTAAAAAGTTGTCCCATCCCTTCCCCTAGAGTATGAGCTGAGACATAAAGTTGAGTCAAATTTATAATGTTCCTTTGACTTTATGAGAAACAAACCCTGGAGATGAGTATGGGTTCTCAAGTTGTGTAGTTCCTATGAAATTATAATGGGTAGGTTTGGTTTTAGAAGAATGTTAAGGCAGCTTTCCCCTCTACAGTACGACTAATAATGGCAGTTATTAAAATTGAAGCCAAAATACCTAGAATTAAGATTTTGGCAGAACATACTGACATTCCTAAGTTTTGCACATTTTAAGTATATGCCTTGATGAAATGTTCACTTCTCACTTAGATTTTAAAAGCAAGTGGTGGAAACAAATGACAGAAATTAAAGTTATATGACAAATATACGTCACATGTTTGTCCTCTAATGAATCTTAAAATTAAAATTAAGATAAGGAAAAAAGCATGAGTTGAAGATCAAGATTAAAAACAGCTTAGAAAATCCTTGAGGAACTAACAGAAGGGTATTTCAGGCAATTTAAATTTCCTGGGAAGCTTTGTTTGTTTTGAATCCGTGGAGAATATTTTTTACTGTCAAGGCTCACCTGTCAAATTTGGCACAAATTTGTAAGCGAAATGATTTCACTTGGCCCATTTTTGACATGAATCTATCTATAGTTTCCCTCTGGCTTTCCAAAAAAAAAGCCCACCCATCACTGACTGAAGTAGAAACCCCTGAATCAGTGAGCTCAGTCTGTCTTCCCTGCAATGCCCCAGTTGGTTGTAGAGTGCTGCTTGGATGCTCAATTATATTTTCTCCCCTTAGTTCTGGCTAAAAGTGGACAAAGAGCTCTAGGCTTCGTGGGAATCCCTTTTGCCCTGATTGGCTGTACATTCTACTCAAATACAATAGGGGAAAACATGATTTCAATGTGCAAATTGATGCTGCAAAATTATTTCACTATATAAAGCAGGGTTTGCTTTATCAGGGACAAAAAAAAAAATCTTTCTCCACATTTAACCAATCATTCTTGTTCCACCTCTTATCCCCCACCTCACCAGGTTGCCTCAGTTCCTGTCATGTTAGTGTTCCTTTTGTCCACTAGTTTCTCATGTGACATGGACTATTTGTCTACTATCCTTACAAAGATTTTGGTTTTTATCATAATGGCTATTAACCAATCCACTTCTAGAATCATGATCATTGTTTATTAAAATCCAGGGCATAAATTTTCTTTAAAGATCCATCCATTTCCAAAGCGTACTTCCTCCCTTTTTCTCAAGTAAGACAGAGATTCTACTTTTAGACTAATAAAAAAGACATCATTCAGAGAGGATATGAAGATCTAAGAAAAATTATCTCTTATGTATATTTATTTATTAAGTAAAAATGGTCCAGTTTTCTAAAATGCACCTGGTAGTTTTTTCTGCAACAAAACTAAATATTCGATAGAATAAAAGATGTTGAGAAGTCAAGATGTTTAATGTTAAAATATGCATATGTAATGAAAATGGTGGCACATTTATATTTCTTGAAGCTGTTGTAAAAATTAAACAATTTTTAAAAGGCTTATCAAATACTTTTTTAAACTTAGAATCTGAGTTTATTCTCTATAAGTGAATCTCTTTTGCAAATGGACTACTAATGTCACATACCAGTAGGGGGCACTAAAGCATTGCTTTTAAATATTAAACATTTATCGAAGTGTTTTGAAAAAGGACTTTTGGCAACTTTTTTCTTGCCCTTTAGCATAATTGGAAAATGATTAAAGACACTGGCAAGGGAAAGAAACAGTTCAATTAGAAAATCAAAGCTAACAAATTACCATCACTAAGTTAGCAGAGAGAGAAACATTTTCTGTGTAAATACCAGCATGATAGCTGTTTAAGATGTTTAGTATTAGTGAATGTCTCATGGACACAAAACTTCATGCTAGTTCTCTGACATGCCTTAACGACTGTGGACAGTTATGAATGGGAATCCCCCAAAGTGAAACAAATGGCAAAACTCAATTGCACATGGTTGGCTATATACTTTGATGGTCTAGAATATGTAATTTTAAAACCCTAGAATGTAAAAAAAGAGAAAACCCATTGACATGGACAACAGTGTTGTGATTGGGGGGGATTCCCATT